TGGAATTGCTGACCCAGTGTCGGGACCAGGTAGAAAAGGTAAATAAGAGACTAAAGCTTCCTCTTGTCAGTATCAGGGAACAGCAGGGGAAGAGATTCCTTGAGTACCAGATCCAGAATGGCCTTGTTGTCACTCCCACCACACTCATGATGCCAGCTAGTTATGTTCTGATTAAAATGTCTGATGTAGCCTTGGAACGTGTCTTCTTGGCATCAGGAAGCCCTCAAGTTGAATCCAGCCTCAGACTCTTACTAGATGGTGCTTTTAGGCAGGTCACTGGAGAGGGCTGGGCTCCGGGGCCCTGGGAGTTACCCTTGGCAGCCTGACCCCTCCAGCATAGGATTCTAGAACAGTGACCCTACCTGTCCCTCCTTAGAGATTGCCTTCTCCTTCTTTTGAGAAGACAGGTGAGAGCCCTGGTGGTTCTGTTGTGCACTTAGCTTTACCAGTTTGGTTTTTGATTTTTGTAGGTAGGAAAGCGTCTCTTGGAGAAGGAAGTACTTGAAAAGGCGGACATGATTGAACTGCTGGGCCCCCGGCCTTTTGGAGAGAAATCTACTTATGAAGAGTTTGTGGAGGGCACAGGGAGCTTGGAGGAGGACACTTCCCTTCCAGAGGGTCTGAAGGACTGGAACCGAGAACGGATAGAAGAAAGCACCGAAAAGCAAGTCCAGGAAAGTACTGTGTAAACCAGCTGAGGCCTCCGAGCATTTGTCTCTTGTGCTTTGGGGGATGTCCTCATTCTCCTCACTATACCTCTGGGGCTGTGGCCTCCAGCACCTCTACCTATTAGCAGGAAAGTCTTGGAAAGCAGCTGCCAGAATCGCTGGAAAGCAAATTAAAGCACATTGTAAATACCAGTGGGTGTTTGAGAGAAGAACTCTTTGGAACAAACCAGGATTCCTCATTCCTGAAACTTGCAGGAAGCCAATAAAGTGGTGTCCAGCCAGGGAGGTAGGCTGAAGAAAATAACCAGCATTTGAGTGGTGTGCAGGTCTTAGCTCAAATCCTTAAGTGAGAATGACAGGTCTGAATGGGTGAGGGTAGAGGCACCGGGTAGGCAGGGGGCTTTATTTTTAATAAGCCACAGCTCCCATTTGGAAGACGGGCCTTCTATCTCCTAAAGGAGCAGGAGACAGGAAAGGCTCCAAAATAGACCTAGTGAGCTAAGAGGGGGAAAAGGACATTTCTTCTCCCACTGTCATAAGTAGCCAAAATCAGTGGTTAAGTCACAAAACAGGTAAATATTTGGGAAAGAGGATTTTTTTATAAACCTTGGCAGTTAGCCCCCCTCATTTGTCCTTCATGAAGACTTTGAAATGTAAGCTAAAGTTTCAATATCCAAGAGGGAGAGGAAATTATTGACCAACCCCAAAGACCCCAAGTAGGAAAAAGTGTTCAAATTAAGAAGAGGACAATTTAAGCTGTTTGACAGAGGAAATGGTTAGATTCTGTAAAAGCCTCTTTTTTTTGCTAGAATAAAGCTAAATCCAGCCAGACCAGAGATTGTAGAGTGTGAGGAGAATGGTGTGTTGGGGGCAGCGGGTGATGGATTCAGCCATTTGATCTTGGATTGTCACCATGGTGCCCTGCCATGGCTGCCACTCTGAAGATTGAGGCACAGTTCATGTTTTTAAAGAATCACTTTGGCTTCCTTCAAGAAGTCAGGGCAGGTTTCAGTACTCCAAGCCTACACTCCAGGGTGCCATTTACTGGATTCCGGCACATTCCACGGCATTCTCACACTAAACTCTGGGTATTGTATCATACAAGCATCGAGGGCTTGCCTTCTGGGGCCTGGAGGCTCAACCAACCAGACCCTGCCCAGGACGCCTTTTCCCACAAGGCCCTGTGCTCTGCTGCTCACACTCACTGTGTCATGGAAGCCTAGAAGTGGAACCCAGTGGAACCTCCTCCTTGCAGGACTGTTTGACTTGCCAGCTTTCTTGTCCTCACCCCCTCTTACTCCTGCTACTGTCTTTGCTTCTTTTGAGAGAGGTTGGTGACATCAAGCGCTTCAGTTAATTAATTTTTTTCTTATTCTGAGTTGGTTCTTGATCTAGCTTTTTTCTTATATCTTGAACTGAAGGAGGCTCACGTTTTTTCTTCATTCCCTCTCTGTGAAAGGCAAAGTGTTTGGTTTGGAAAATCATTGCAGAGTGTAGATGTTCCAAGTATTTTGTCCTGCTCAGAATCTGTTAAACCATAGATGATGGCCAGGATTTGGGGGCTAGGAAAATCCCATTCTTTTGACTGAAGATTTGTCCCCTTAGCTTTCCTTTCCAAACCTGTTGCCATGGGATTAAAAGTTTAAAAAAAAAAAGCCTTTGAGGAATTATTCTAGCATATAGACCCTCCTGCCTAGACCTGTGCAAGGTTCTTATGCAAAATTGCAGCAATTTGAGATGATTTTGAGAGACCGATCTAATTTAACCCCTTGTTTTCTGATTGGTGAATGCCCAAGCCATCCAGAAGAAATAGTGATCTCTTTCTTCCTAAAGATCATTAGAGAAAGAGAGGCCATTGACTCATTCCTGTGTTTTATTCCCCTCAACAATGAAGAACTTCTGAATGAGTTTGTTTGGAGAAGCAGAAAAAACAAACCATAGCACCGTGTCCCCCAGGGCATCCTGGGACAGGGTCACTCTTGCCTGCATCCTCCTGGGCACCAGCTAACTAGCATGATTCATTTGTAGGGAGTGATACCTAGTAAGTGTAACTGCTCCAAGGGCATAAAATAGGAAGCCTCACAGGGTTCGTTGGGTATGCTGTATCAAATGAAATTGGGGAGGGGAGCAGCAGGAAGGGGTAGTCTACTTGTTTGCCAGTCTGACGCTGTTTTTGTTTTTAATAAGAACACTAGGTCCCCTTAAGACAAATCCAAGCCCACTTCTCAGAAGCAGCATTGCCCTAGGTCTCATTACCCATTGTCTGTTAGACAGTTTGGCCTTTCGGTGGGAGTGATTTTCAGATTGTGCTATTTAACAGCAATGCCGACTTGCAGCAGCTGGGGTAGAATATGCTTCCTCTAGAAAAGCAGTCTTGCCAACTTACACAGAGCACACTGGACAGAGAAAGCTGCATGCCACCTGTCATGACTTTAATTGATAGATAAGGAACTTGTTTGGAAACAGGACTGATGATCCTTATAGTTCATCTGCCCCATTTGAAGGGGGATATAGGCAAGTTCATGAACTAGCGAAGGCCATAAGGAATAGTGAGTTTTCTCAGAGCTGCTTAGATGAATACTTCCTGCATTCCTGCTGGACCTGCCATTGCAGCATTTCTCCACTTAGAAACTTGCTGTTTTAAAGCCAGGCAGTTCACCTCATGGGGTTTGACTACAGGAAAATGCCAGATTCTAAGAGAGGATTTTCTTTAGGTCCATGCCTAACATCATGCCTCTTAGGATCTCTCTCAGCATGATGTCTGATCGTGTCAATCAGCTGGCATTTACTAGGTGTTTACTCTGTTCCAGGCACTGTGGTAAGCTCTGGAGATATAAAGAAAATATGAGTTGGGTCCAAAAACAATGGCTGTGTGATTGGGCTGGGATTTTAATGTTGCAGTTTGGGGAGGCAGCTTAAGGCCAGTCTTACCATGAAGGCTAAAGAATTCTCATGTTCTTTCCACTTCGCTCCTTTGGAAAGCTTGAGTCTCATGTTGACGTTCATGATCCTGACCTTGACCCTGAACCCATGGCTTAAGTCTACGGCATAAAATCTTCCTCTGTGTCAGTTGCTCAGAGACTCCCAGTCCTGCGTTCTGTTGGCTTTCTCCAAATAAGGGAATATTAATCATTGATGCTTCTGGCCTTTTTCTCCCATTCATGTAGGGGGAACTCCCCTGTGGCTATGGACAAGAGTGACTTTGGCATTCCTTTCTAAGCTTCTCTTATTATTACACAGCTTGGCTAAGAGAACAGCAGAGTCATGCCGGATGAAATAAAATTTAATTTGTGTAATTCTTTTTTATACACCAGTGATAAGCTCCAGCAGCTAGGTAATGACTCTAAACCTTTTCTCCCTGGGGTAGCTCTAAGACTTGTGCAAGCTTGACTTCCTCTTTCCTGCCCATTGTGGTGGAAGCACACCACCTCATTCTCACTCCTGATTTTTTTGTTGTCTTGGACATGCCTCCTTCCACATTTAAACTATCAGCATATTCTCCATCCCTCATGGAGTCCCATTTCTTGGATTCACTTCTCTCATTCTTAATATAGACTATGGTTGTTCTTTCCAGTATTTGCCACATTGTATGACCTTGGGCAGAATCCCTCACCTCTGTTTCTTCATCATTAAAAGGCAGGGGAGTGGACTAGAAGGCCTTCCAGAACCCTCCCAGTTCTAGGTCCGTGCGCTCGTGAGCTCACTCCTGCATTGGCCTCTGCTTCCCGGCCTTCCCAGTCATCATAAATGTCAACCACCAAATGCCAAGGCCCCAGTTCTTCCCCATCATTTAAGGTCACCTTCCTTCTCAAGGTCCTCATGTGGGTCATCAGACTCAGATTACGCATGTTCAAGGTCACGGTCCTTTATTTGGGCCCAGTATGAAAAGATGACATACGTTTCCTGCTGCTTGTCTAGTCTGCCCAGCCTTAATTTATCTTACTTTCTTAATTTATCTTACCTTCACCTTTTTGTTTTATATCTTCCCCTGGCCAAAAACAACACCACCAAAAAAACCGAAACCATTCTTTGCATCTGGAACATTCTTTTTCTTAAACAATTAGCTGACTCTAAAATTCTTATATTTCCTTTTGGGGAATCCTTCATTTAATTTTGCATGTATTGTTAGAAGTGGAGGGAGGAAGGGAATGGGCTAGAATTACTTATTCTAATCTGTTCCCTCTGAAACAATACTTTATGTTGTATTATATAACACTTCAGTATTGGCAATGGCGTTTTAAATTGCATTCCAGCAAATAAAATGAGAAACCATGAAGCAAACTACAAACAAATTAATGAAAACACAATAAACATGGAATACTCAAATGGAAACGATGTGTCCGGTTTGTTTCTTCAGAGTTGTGAGCTGCTTCAGGGCAAAGGCTATGCCTGTAACCTGGAGCAAATGTGGGCATGCACTAGAATTTGATGGTGATCTCCACAAATACAGGGAAGGAGGTAATTTCTCCTCTCTAGTCTGGTCTGTGAGCTACTCATTTGGGTTAGACTGAAAACCAAGTTACCTTGTCTATAGTCAACCAGGAGACTAACATGATAGCAATCTTTTAACCCCGTCTTTCAGTCCTCAGGAAACTGAGTACTCTTGTACATGGGTGCACATAGTTAGGGATTTTAGACCAGAGGTTCATATCCTTTTTTTTTTTTGTCATGGACCCTTTCTCAGGGTGTTCTATGAAAAACAAGTCCACATACCCTTTCCTCCCACTTCGTAGGCAGATGAGCCAGAATCCTCCCTTCTGGCTATTTAGCAAGTAGCTGTAAGAACCAGAAGAGTTCTGTGTGGGCTGGTCTCTAGTACCAAAGCCAGGAGCCGTTAGCATGAGCTGGCTAACTCGGGCCCCACACTGAATTTTTACTTGAATTACATGAGGAGCCAAAGCATAAGTAGGTTTTTGGTCTATTAAACAGATCTTTGTCTCAGCTCTCTCCTTTCAGACCTGGCCTACATACACTGTTCTGGTCTTTGGTTAAAGTCAGCTGTTCTCAGGCCCTGAAACTTCTCTCGCTCACAGCCATCCAATAGAAAGAGTGTTCTCCAAGGGTGCTTCTCCCACCTCATCCATTTGTCTAAGACACTTAGTGGGATTGCACAGAAATAAAATTTTTAAAATCTTCTCTCCAAATCCCCATCACCAGCAGCATTCTGGGCTTGAAAATTGAGGCCAATCTTCCCTGGAACATGACCCAGATAAGCCTGTTTGAGCTTCAGTGGCATTTGGCAGTTTGGGAAACAATGTGAAAGCCTGTGGGTATCCTAAAGGCATCGTCTCCTCCAGGGAAGCAGCATCCACTCAGCCCCCACTGTGGCAGCTCGAGCTGACCTCAGCGCTGCTGTCTTCCCTCGGCTCTTGTGCTGTTGTACATGCAATCCTGCTCTAGATAACTCCTCTAATGTCCACTAAGGAAGTTAGAAACCAAGGAGACACCTTAAAATTAAGGGGATGAGGTTTTAATACCATTTTTTTTTCAAATGACACTATAGAAAGCTGCTACATGAACTACTGAACAGTACAGTACACGAGGGGGACAGGTCACAGATGAGTAGATGATGTGTCTGTCATGTGCTGCTCTAGCTGCCTTCATGTGATAAAGCTGAAAAGCAAAACAAGGTAAGAAATTTATTTTTATTGTGTTGGGCAAGTATATTGCTCAGTACCTTGACCCACTGACATGATTACTTGGCTACACCGATATCCCAGTGGTAGAACAGGTTGAGGAAGAAAACGCACAAAGGTCAACCCAGGAATTGGTCCTTTTTCTATAATTTGGGGAAGTAAATTTCTCCACTTTCTAATAGGGCTGCTTTTCTGGAAATTAATTACAAAGAATACAGCACGCCTGATGGCGTATTTGCTGGATGCAATGGGTAGTGTTCATCTTAACAGATTCCTGGTTTGTAAGTATCTGCAGAAGGGAAGAGCAAAACACACAAGCATTGAGTATTCCAGCCAGCTGAACGAAGCCAGAAGCCCCCAGTGGCATGTACATGTCAGTTTGAGTGAGAGGTGCCAGCACGTCTGCCAACTGGCCACTTGCCAGCACTACTGCGCACTTGGGAAGCGGCTTGGTTAACAGCCCCTGAAATCAGGGAATCGGTCCCTAAGCCTTCTCCGTCACTGGCATCTGCGAGATGCTTGATGGCAAGAACCATAGCTAGTTCTTCCTTGTTACTCCCACAGCACTTAGCATAGTGCCTTGCAAAATGTCAGGCATTCAGAGATTTGACTCCACTTTATTTGAGTCCTTCTCTGTTGGAAGAACTTTCTTTGTATCCATATCAGGAGCTTGAATGGAGAAAGGAAAATGGTCAAAGGTGCCCACAATCTGTGGTTCAAGTGAAAAAGTGAGTTTGGAACCATATTCAGAAACCATTCTTTGACATGGCATCAGTTGGTGCCAGTCTGGTGACCCTGGTTCCTTGCTGTTCAGTACAACGGAATTTAAACATTGTGGGCACCAACCGCCAGCAAGCAGCTGGGCTGGGCGCCTCTTTGAATAGAAGAGATGTCGGCTCTTCAGGACTTCTAGGTCTCCCTCACTTTCCTGCCCGCAAGAAGTTGTCGTCTGCGAAGTCCCTCCTTTGGGCAGAAGCCACAGCCAGAAAAAATGGTCCCTGCTTCCTTTCACCATCAAGTGACACCAAGCCAGACAGTACCATGTGGATGCACAGAGGGATGTAACAGGCAGCCACAGGCTCAAAGTTACTTTAGGGTATAATGTGTTTACATGAGATTAACTGGAGATGATGTGTAGGACAGGAAATCCATGTTATTGGAACATGAGAAGTAGCCCCTTAAGAAGGTTGTGGGGGCGGGAAAGGGGGAGTGTCTCATGAGCCTCTTTTCCTCCCCCCTCCTTAATTGTTTAAGGGAGGTGCCATGGTTCCTTAGGCAGTTTTGGCATTATTTGGTGTTCTCAGCAAGGTAGGGAATAGGCCAGAGTCCTCTCAGTCTTCAGGTGACCGAGGGAAAGCCCAGCCCAGAAGTCATAAAGGGTCTAGGTTACAAAGCTGATCTAGTGCTCAACTCTCTCACGCAAGGAAGGATTTTGGGGGGAAGGATGGGTTTGTAGGAGAGAACAGGAGATTAGCCACCAACTCCACCTTCCTTGGCTGAAAGTGTGGCAAGAATCAAATCAGTATGGATATCTTCAGAAGGGAGTCCTCGGCCCTTAGGCACCCTCCAGAATTTGAACACAAAAGCAATTTCCCTTTTCCTTCTAATGCAAATACTCCAGTTTCTGAATTTAGTGCCGCTTTTGTGAAAAAGGCCATCCGCTGTGACTAGAAATAAACAAGTAAATTGAAAGTTACCAGTTTGAACTGTCTTCTACTCTTCAGCCTTTTCCAGAACCATTTTAGAGCTGGACAGCACCAGTTCTGAAAAGGGGAACTTTCCAGAAGAGTTGATAAGCAGAGAGAAGCTGGGTCCCTTAAACCTGCACACAGATGTCGGAGAAGTGGCCGCCATTACCGTCATTCCCCCACTGGATCCCTGTAACATTGGGGACCGTCCCAGATTTTACTGTGGTTTTGCTAGGGTGCCAGGCAGTCCCCCTAGCAGATGCTAAGCTGCTGACCAGGTGAGGGGTGGAGTGATCTGATTTCTGAGCAGTAGCATTCCACAGAAAATACATGTTGGTCTTGATCCGATGCTCAGAGAAGATGTGAGTAAGGCCACTGGAAAGAGACTGTGCTTATACTAAAGGGTGGCAGGAGGAACCCAGTGGCTGGCCTTTGCTTTTGTCTCATAGCACTTAACTGTCTTATAAAGAATCTGTTGGTTTAGACTTTTGCTCCCTCTCCTTTGACCAGCGTTTCCAGAGTGTTGGGCTCAAGGCAAATTCAACCTACACCTTCTCCAGCTCTGAAGACCCAATAATGCACTGGTATATACCTCAAGACAGAGGGAGCTTAAAGTGCCAAAATTCCTGCCAAGTTCCTTCCAACCCCTTCTCCCTCTGGCTGCCAACCGTCACCGTAGGACACTGGCAGTCTGGAGGGATGGCTCAGCTCATACCAAGCTGACTCTAGCTCTTGGAAATGGGACTGAAGGAAGCAAAGCAGTCTGGGCAGAGATGAAGGAGGGGCTCCGTAATTAACTTTTCCCCCACAGGTCTTGCCAAAGTCTCTCAGGTCAAGGTTATTTTCAGCATCACGAATGGTCCAGAATTTGTGATTAGTGCAACTGTGGACATTCCCATCTTGGCCCCTTAATGCAGTTCCCAGGGCAGGTTAGAAAAGAGCCTAGTCTTCCTTCGGCCTCTCTATAGTGAGAAAAGTGTCCACGATCCCAGCCTGCAGCTCAGAGTCACTGAGGTGCTTTTTTTCTCTGTTTTGTTCAGCTTTGGTCCGAGTCCAGGAGGGGGAACGCAGATACCCAGCTCGAGGGAGCGGGTGTGTGTGCAAACCTGGGGTAGAGAGAAGACAGGACAAAGCAGAGGTGAGCGAGCTGCCCAGCTGGGAGAGTAGATGGTGCTCCCTGACAGGTCTGTTCAGACAGTCAGCTCAGGTGTTCAGGCGTGTGTGTGTGTGTGTGTGTGTGTGTGTGTGTGTGTGTGTGTGTGTGTACGTTTTTCCAACACAAACTCTAATGTAATCTATTTCTAACCTCAATTCCATGGGAACTGATTGATGCTGCTGGTCCAGGAAAAATCAGATGCCCTGGGCACTGACCTCATGACCCTTGATCACAGCCAGAGAATTGGTTTTTCTCATTAGGAATTCCCCCTGCCCCCTGTGCCTTGACCCCCCACCCCCACCCCAACGTGTACCTCACTTTCTTTCTGCCTGAGGGGGTGGGGAGGTGGAACCTAGCTATTGATGCCTCTGGGACTCATACATCAAACAAGGGATGGCGAGTATTCCTAGCCAATGGGCTGCTGTGAGGGTTGCGGCCCACTCCTTTGTCAGGGAATGGTTCCATGAGTTTCTCAGCACCAGACCTGGGAGAGGTTGGGAACTATGCTTGTCCCTATTATTTTTAATGCTACGATCTGGGTCTGGGACCTCCCTGCAGCACTCTCATTTGTTTGAAGCCCCTACGACACTAGGGAGAGCCGCTAATCATTCATTCTGGTCACACGGTCCCTTCTCATTGAAGCTCCGTGGGATGGATTTACATATTTATTCAATTGGATCCACCCAGTGAGTGCAGACTCTGCCAGGCTCTGTGTGTGTGTGTGTGTGTGTGTGTGTGTGTGTGTGTGTGTGTGTGTGTGCCACAAGCCAGATTAATCAAAGCCTGTGTCAAATCCAAAGGCTGATTTGCTACCTTGAAGGCCAGAGAAGCAGGATAAGGTAGAACTGTGTG